AAGAAGTTCAATATTTGAGAACACTAATACAAAAATTCACATTGTAAAAAACAACTAGTGACAGTTTCTGAATGGTATCTAAATATATTTCACAATAATGCAAAAGCATGTAGAATACATGAAATTTTTAGTCATAAAATAAAAATGCTATTCTTATTCACTTTTCAATTATCTTGTTAATAGTAAACACATCAGAAACAAATATCAAACAGAAGAGATACATACATAGAGGATTATGTACAAACTAGAGGAACATGTAAAAAACAAGAGAAAGGCACACAATGGAGAGCAAAGTGCTTGGAAGCAGTGGAAAAGGACTTGGTCTAATAATGAGTAAGCTGAAGAGGAAATGGATTTGCGCTCATCTAGAAGATCTTCGTGGTTAGGGGAGTTGGCTGGCCCATCCTTAACACGGTTCTGTCAGAGTTTTTTACATCCCATTGTAGCAAAGTGCTTGTTCATATGGGTCTGTTTGATTGTGGGGGTGATTTCTCAGATGCTGAGCAGTCCATGAATTAACCTGAGGTCAAAGACATTTGTGCAGCTGCTAATGATCTTTCCAAAGATGCCACTGTTACCTTTTCATAGGGACACTGTTAACCTGCCTCAAGAATATATATAAAACACTTTGGCTAATAACAGTTCTCTCCTAAATGTAACAGTTTTTAGTAGCTTCTTAGCTTTGTTGTTAGTTGTCAGAATACTTTTACTGTAAACTAAATGTTAGTTTTGCAGTTTGACCCGGGGATGTAAAACTCAATTTACATCGTGGGCCACTTACAAGCTACTTTGATCCTAAGTGGGCCAGACCAGTGAATTTACATGATAAATGTGTAAAATTACACAAAAAGTAATTCATTATCCAGACTATCCCATATTTCTAAAGATCTAAAAGATACTTTCTCCTGTGAATTTATATTGTAGAGAGATTTCTGTCTTTTAATTGTTTATCTATTAATTACTTTGCTGTAGTATAATTGAGGCGGGCTCTTTATTGATAGGAAAAGCTTTAAACTTATGAAAATACAGTTAGAAGTTCAAAATCTATGCGCTCCTTCACATTTTCCAGAGCCATCCAGAGGGTCGGAATGGAGTCTTTGATGGATCGTGTTAAATCTCCCAATTCTTTTATCTTTGGGCTGAAGGAAGAACAACACTCAGTGTATAAATGCTCAGTCAACAATCTCTTTATTCCATACAATTCTCATTATTCCATACAACACTTTGAGCATAAACATCCGGAGGGGAGATGTGGACAGGAGGGTGTCCGCCAGATCTGGAAGTGTCTGACTGTTTCTCACATTCTTATAGCTTCAGCCCCTCTCCAAAGTCATAAAACCTAAACATCCACATTCTTTATCTCTTACAGTGCCCGAGTGACGGCTTTGGCTTACTGTTTTATCGCTGCCTGATGAGATGGGGCAGAAAACCTCTACAGTATGTTCTGTTCTCTTTGTAATCAGAAAAGGAAGGCCATGATTCTATACAAGCAGCATTTCTTATAACTCAGCAGTATAATGCATCATAAAACAGTGTAATGATTTCACAATCTTTAATCCAAGGCATAATGTGGCCTATAGCCGTATAATGATTCAACAATTATTTGATTAGAAGGATAAGGTGGCATAAGATAGTATGATAATCTTACAGCCGTTTCTGGCCTCTGGCCTTATTTTTGACACCCTTGGTCTAGAGCTGTCATTGTCTTAGGATACATAATGGTGGACATGTTAACAACACTTTAAATAAGCCTATGCTTTATTTAATGCTTGAGGAAGATAACACTAATAATCAGTAACATTTTATTCAACAATAAAAATGCACTAATACAAAAATTATTTAGCAATGAATTTGATCTTATTTTGCCACTCTCACACCCCTCTAGGAGCCCCAAAAAGCTCAAATATAGGGGAGGTCAGCAGCCCAGTCAATCTCAGAAGCCTTTTGACTCGCAAGCTGTTGATAACTTGATTTGCAGGATAAAGAAGCTATTTTGACATGGAGTCAGCAGCTGACCCCCCTTGCTGTTTTTGCTGGCCAGCAGTCTCTGGGCAGTCTACTGTATAACCATACCATCCTTTTACAGTAAAACTGAGACCACTTGTAAGCATCAAATAATGGAATTTGAATGTAAAATTATGGCAGTCAGGGGCAAGTTGAGAACTACTAATTGCTCTCAAACACATTAAAAGCTGCCATAAAGGCAGTAAATTAAAAAACAGTTCAAGTTGTTGTGTTGTATATGTTTTACTGACTGCTCTTGTGACTAATGGGGTTTTCTATTACTCCAGATTACTACACTGTGGCAGAATTGTAGATTAACGCTGTAATTAATTCATAAAGTCTGACAGAAACCCAGTAAAAGAATCTAAGCTAGTGATAGGCTACTGATTTATGATTAGAAGACTCCCAAGCAAAAAAATGACACAACAAGTCAATTATTAACCTCAACGTGCCAAAGATCAAAGCGTATTGGTTGACCGTAAGTCACAATAAGATTTTAGATGGTCTTAAATTTTCGTGTAGTTCAGGGTGACGACTTCATTTGCTGTTGGAAGGTAACATCCCATACCTGTAAAAAAAAATTTAAAGTTCAGAGAATATTATATAATACGACAAGTTGGACTGTGTGCATCAAATGTCTGACCTCAGCTTATCTAACACATCGTGAGTATGTTTCACTCACCAACATTGAGTGGGGTTGTACCATTCAGCAGTTGCCAGTAGTGTGATGAATTTCCTGCCAAACCATTTACACTCTGAAGGAATGGTCCATAGTCATCATGTGGTATGTACTGAAAGCTGGAAACATAGGGAATTACTTTTTAAAGAGTGAAGTGGACAGTTTTTACTATAACTATGAAATCCTTATTGTTATTATTAATCTCTGGCTCTTTTCCACGGTGCGTCTTTTGTCCTGTCTCCCTCCCCTCACACCCAGCAGGTCACAGCAGATGGGTCGCCCTGAGCCTGGTTCAGTGCGAAGTTCTTCTCTGTTAAAAGGGAGTTTATCTTTCTACTGTCGCCAAGTGCTTGCTCATATGGGGCCATGTGAAACATTAATGAAAGGAAGGCATTTCTTAAATCTAAAGATGTTATG